CATACATACATACATACATACACACACGCACACACACACATACCCAGGTTCGGAGCTAGAGGGGGGGCCAGAGGTGGCCTTGGCCACCTTTAGCCAATCATGGCTACCATTTTTTCCCACTCTAATACAGACAGTGGCAGCAGTAATACTCTCAAGTCGAATATTCAAAACATATACAATTTTCATATATTAACAAAAATACTTGACAACAAAAACATTCTGGTTGATTATGCATGTCACTACCCGATCCTACCTGGAAGCACGATCCGTTGTGCACATGCGCGAATAGATATACATCCGGGTGTCCATAAATAATGTAATTATGGTACTAAAACTACTTATTTCTATCCTAATACACATCTGTAAAAAATGTTTTATGACTTTTGTGAGACATGTGAGCATTTTACATTTTCTTCACTGATATTGTCATCAGACATGGTCAGAGCAGTCTGGCAAAATTTGATTAAACCATGTTTATCTATATTTTAGTTGTTTCTTTCTTTAAATTACGCACTATATAGCATAAGTTTAAAGCGAAACAAAAACATAAAACTCAAAAAGACCAGATTTATGTTTAAGTCCAAAGCCGAAAAAGTTGGCGACTGCAAACAGCGTAGGATCCCATTTCCGGTGCAGATCGGGCAGAGACGAGTGATAAAAACAGAAAGGATTTTAAGGCATCTTTTTTGTCAGGAAATACATTATTAACCTTTAACACATAATATTTTTAGTACGTTTTTTTGGGGGGAGGGAAAACGTCATTAAGGTACTTTTTAACTAAATAAAATCGAGGACGACCTGGATGTATATCTGGATACGCATGCCCAAATGAGCTGCTGCCGCGTGCACAGAATGGATCGTGCTTCCGGGATGGATCGGGTCGTGACACTGCACATTAAAATACTAACATTAAAGATGATACTGTAAGTACTGAATTCATGATCTTTCCATAACTAGATTTTGTGTCTAATGGGGTAAAGAGAAAATGATGTGTCTCGGCAAGTCATCTAGGAGTCTTCAGTGAAATCATAGATGAATAACTATTTTAATAAAAACATATTAAATAATCCATTTATGTAGACATTAGTACTTGTAAATATCAATTTTATCCAGAATGATTGTTGATAAAAGTAGGTAAGTAAAGACAATGGAAAAGATGTTTGCCCCAGAACTTAAACCTGAAAGGAGTTTATCCATTATACCTTTTATCTAGAAAGCACGGATGTTTAAATATATGCGCGTATTTGTTAGCAAATGCTGTAGGAAAATATAGTTTGACTTTATTTAGAAAATATGGATGTTTTGCTAGTTAATTTTCCTGTTGGAAGAGTGTAGAGCACAGGTGTCAAAGTCATTCCAGAAAGGGCCGTGTGGCTGCTGGTTTTCTTTCCACCCAAGCAGTAGCACACCAGACTCCATTCATCTCATCAAGGTGAGTCTAGTCTTAACCTGATGACTAGATGGGATGAATGGAGTCTGGTGTGCTACTGCTTGGGTGGAAAGAAAACCAGCAGCCACACGGCCCTTTCTGGAACGACTTTGACACCCCTGGTGTAGATTGACCCTGAGGTTCAGGAGCTGCCCCTCAGTCTACGTTGGTTATTGCCTGGCCACCCTAATAAACATTTTCTGGCTACGCCTCTGCCTGTACCTGTCCAAATATTCAAGGACTAGTTGAAGTAATTCAGGCATCTGATCAGGATGCCTTCTGGACTGGACTTCCATCTTTGAAAGTTATCTAACTTGACCCACTGAGAGCATACCCCGGGAAAGGTGGAGAGGCTTGGAAATGCCTTTGCATTCTTTAGAACAAGGTGGAGGCAGGTTGCCGGAAAAAGGGTAATTTGGGTTTCCACCTGGAGCTTTTACCACTGTGACCTGATCCAGGACGACAACGGATGGATGCTCTGTCGAAGGATTCAAAGTTTTGGCAGAGAAATTTAATAAACAGACACCATCATCTAGACCAGGCATCCCCAAACTCAGCCCTCAAGGCCCCTTGTCCTGCAGGTTTTAGAGGTTTCCTTGCTCCAGCACAGCTGATTTTAATTAAAAGCTGATCAACAGGCTTTTGGTCTACTGCAATCATTATAACCAGCTGTGCTGAAGCAGAGAAACCTCTAAAATCTGCAGGACAGGGGGCCTTGAGGAACGAGTTTGGGGATGCCTGATCTAGACCAAGGGATCCACCGGACAGGTCAGAGATAAAGCTGCATAAAGGTTTAGTGTTAGGTCATAAAACAATATCCTAACCCCTTTAACAAAGTCCTGTCTCATTAATCATCTAGCAATGGAAAGACTGAAACAACTGCAAAACAAGACACAGGAGTCAACCTTAAGTGACAACCTGAACAAGGGAAGCAAAAAAGGCCACTTTACAGATCTGGCCTCCAAGAAACACGGTGGTGGCTACATCATGCTGTGTTTTTTGTTCTTCAACACAGGCTAATCAGAGTTCATGGGAAGAGAAATGGAAATGAATAAAGGGCAGTCCTGTAACCAACCTGAGGTTCAAACAGACTTTAGACTGCATAGATGTTCACTAATGCTACTGTACAATAAAGCTAATAAGTCAGAGCTACAATGGGTTTGGTCCAGATGTATATTCCCCAAAAATTGGGGAAGGGAATCTTTGACAAGAATTCAAATCTAACATTAATAGATGTCTTTATCTGATGGTGCTTGAGCTACCTTGAAGAGAATGGTGAACGAAATTGCAGATGTGTCACAAAATGACAGTAATATATCCCAAAAGACTTGTGATTGCACCACAGGGTGTTTCTACGAAATGCCTGGATTTATACATACACATACCAAACAGATAATCTTTAAACTTACTTTCCTTAGACTCCAAATGCTATGCACCACTTTAATTTGTGGTGCATAACTTTTGGAATCTTATCCCAAAATCATTAAAAACTGAACAAAAATGTTAAAATTACACCTTGATAAGATGATCCAAACCCAGCAGTTAGGGCAACTATTAAGGGAAAAAAAAAAAAAATTAAATCATAATCACTACTGTTGCACCGATACCAGTATTGGGCGGGGCCCTGATCCAGCACTAAAATGGTGGCATAGGTATTGGCGCGTACCAACAAATAGGGGACTGATACCATATTGAGAGTCAGAAGTTTATTTAACCATTGTCACCAATTCCAGGTAGGCAATAAAAAGTTCTACTTGATTCACTTTGTATTAGTCTTTTTCCTGCTTCACAAAGGTAGGCAGCAGCTTGACAAAGCCATGATGGAAATTATTTTACATCCAAGTAGTATGCAGCTCTTCATATGTACACACACGCACATCAATTTCAAACAGATGGTATCGGTATCGTCCAATACTGCACAACTAGGTATTGGTATCGAGGCCAAAAAAATGGCATTGGCGCAACACTAATAATCACTAACTGTTCCATTCTAAAGGAACAATAATTAGTGACCTTTTTCAGTTATGGCTTTTTTATCATCTACATTTTATGCAGACAAATGAAAACAAAAATACAACAGACAAACAGTTGGTATTTCATTTTTTGGGGGAGATGGATCATAACTTTGCATAATATTTGTAAATTAAAAAAAACAAAAGAGACGGGCTCCCTTAAAGAAGTTAATTGTAGCTTTTGGTAAAAACATGAATTTCACCACTAGATGGAGACAAAATCAAAGAGTGAAAGCAGGTTCAGTCTTCATGAAGCCAGCAGTGGCCTGGGAAAAAATTTAATCTAGAATAAGGTATTTCAGTCTCATTAGAAGAAAGACTCTTCCTCATGTGTTTAAGACAGCAATATGTCATTTATTATAGAAGGTAACTTTTACACAGATGAAAATAAACTGCAAACTTACATTTATTATGAATGATAACTTCACATAAGAAGCAAACAAAATCAAAAATGCTGCTACAAAAACTAACATATCCTTTTGTTCTAATAAGTAGATTTGAAAACTCAAACAGAGTGCATCTTACACATTTAAGTGAATACAGTTGAGAACTTAAGTTGGCAGTGCTTAAAAAAAAAAGACATTCCTACACATGTATGTTTGCCTCGGCAAGTTTTTGTTACAGAACAGTAAATAAATACAAATTTATAAAACCTCAATCTTTATTGTTGATTTTTTTTTTCTTTTTCTTTCTTTATTTCTGAAAAGGTTACCTAACAATATATTTCATTCATTTGTATATCAGCTCAATTTATTTTGTGCCTTGGGGGGGGGTCAGAAAAAATAGAAATATATATTCTGATCTCTTACATTTTAGAGGCTTTTGAACAGTGCAGGATCAATTCAATGCATAATGAAGACGTAAGATTTCTTAAACAAAATCTTGCTTACAAGGGAAATGCATAAAAGCATATTTACAGAAGGAAGAACGCAGCCATAGGCTAAAACTAATCGGAGAGGAAAAGGAAATAGAGATTCCTGTTCCCTCTGGACAACAACAAACATTGTGGCCAACGGGCCAGTTCTGCAAAACCACAGGACTCACAACAATTCAAGCCTGTCTTAATTGCCAATCTCCAAGATGGCCATAAACTGTACAACAAATCACATCCCTCACCACAAGAAGAACACATTAACACAGCATAACACTGTGTCAGCGATTCAACAAAATGTACACAACTCTAGTGTTACTAGGATTTACTTGATGTTTAAAAAGGGGGAAAAAGTTCTATGTTTTAGATGCATTCTGTTACTATTCACAGAAATGTCATCTCCCTTTCAAACAAATTTGAAATAACACTGAAACTTACAATGTGCTCTATCTTAATCACAATTTTCATTATAAACAGGATTATACAAATTATAAACAGAGAGAGAAATCATAGAAAAAAAAAAGACAGACTAAGAGTCTCTAAGGAAATAAATACCCAGTGTGTTTGCTATGACTTTACTGTAGAAAATGAGCTGTATAGGAAAGAAGTTCCTCTAGAGGACTTTCTCGGTCCTGCGTACGACCTCCCCACACCATAGAAACATAAATAAAACCTTAATAAATAAAAAAGAAAAGGAATGAAGCACAGATGTCACTGTTAGTACAAAAATGTATAAAAGTCCTACATTTTGATCACTTCTTTGCCCTTTTTCGTTTTCTTCACAGAGAACTTTTTCTTTTTTACAAAATAACAATAAAAAAAAAAAACATACAGCAGTTGATGTGGGTGCTTTTTATTTGAACTGTTCTGATATATGCCCAATCTGGGACTGCATGCTTGTTGGTGGACTTGAAATGCCCTCTGACCAGTCGGACATGTTGGAATGGGGAGATGAACTGGACCACTGGTCAGGGGAGCCAGGGGACGGGGTCAGAAAGGGATGGTCGGGCACCTGGACCTGATGGTTTGGGGTGTTGTCTATAGGGCCCGTATAGCTGTGCTGGGAGGGTGGGGTGAGGAACTGGGTGCTGGGCATGGACTGACTGATGGAGGAGGACATGATCTGGGTTTCCTGTGGGAGGATGGTACGTATGGGCATGCTGGAATTACCTGTTCCCTGCTGGAGCTCTGGGGAACTGAGGTCCCCGCTGATGAAGTTCTGGGTGTTGGCTGAGTTAGAGTTCTGGTGCTGCAGCTGGATACTCTGCTGCTGCTGTTGAAGTTGTTGAAGGTTTTGCATTTGCTGCATTTGTTGAGCCTGCTGCTGCATCATGTGGCTCTGAGGGCCCAGTCGGGCGTTCTGCATCCCCTGATAGGTCATCATCTGCGACATGCTGGAGTTGGGGTGGCCATTATGCAGGGTAGTTGTGATCATCCCATGCTGCCCACCTTGGTGCATACCTCCTTGGCCCCCAGGGGCGCCTCTCATGGGGTTGAACTGACCTGCCTGGTTAATGTTGCTGTGCATCCTGGATAGCCAGTCACATTGGCCATTCATGGGACCCTGACCGCCGGAGCCAGAGACTGGTAGGTGGGTTAAACGGGGTGGCAGTGGGTCAAACTGCATGCGGGCTAGCTCCTGCTTGTTTGGCATCACCATGTGGTTTACAGCCATATGAGGGTCAGACATCCCCTGCAGATGGTTAAGGGATACAGATGGCGACTGCTGGAAGGGGGAGGTCATCATAGGCGGTGAGGCTACATCAGAAACGTATCCGTGAGGAGACTCCAATGAGTCTACAGGTGACAGAACGGCCGAGCTGTCCAGGAGGTTCCCAGACTTCCCGTCCTGAGAGTTCTTCTTCTTCACCTTCATGTCTTTGCCATCTTTGCAGCCGATTCCCTTGTGACTGGGCTTGCGGGTTTTTTTCCCCTGGCCTTGACTTTGAGGCTGAGGCTGCTTCATGCTGCCAAGGAACCCACTGGGTGAGCAAAGAGGGGGAGACAATGTGGTGCTCAGAGACCCTCCGTGCATGGGGGGACTTCGTACCAGGTTGTACTCGTCCATCAGCCTCACAATGTCATGATGCATCCTCTCCTGTGCAATGTCTCTAGGGAGCCGGTCCATATGGTCGGTTATTTCCCTGTTGGCAAAATGATCCAATAAGACCTTAGCAGTCTCATAGCTTCCTTCTCTGGCAGCCAAGAACAGAGGCGTCTCCTCCTGAAGCAAAGAGGATAGAAACAACATTAAACCAGATCAAAGAAAGTCATTTTAAAGGAAACTTTATTTTTTTTTCCAAACCTTGTTGTTCTGCATGTCCTTGTTGGCACCATTCTTGAGTAGAACAATCGCAGCCTCCACATTATTGACTGCTGCAGCCCAGTGGAGGGCTGATTTTCCTGAAAAGGTAAAAAAAAAAAAGAAAGGGAGGTCATTCAAACTCTAATAGTACTACAAACAGCTTCAAACACGTCCAGAAGCCTGCAAAAGTATTAACACTCCTAAAGACTTTTCAGAATGAATCCTATTTCACTGTGCTACCCTGAAATAAAACCCCGATTTTAGGGCCAACTCTACCACCCTACGCTAATGTCTATCACTTTAATAATAAAATACATTGAAACTCAAACAGAAAATACAAGTTTTTTTTTTTGCAAGGCACTGTAGATGCTAAAATAAATAATATTTGTGTACCAAAATCATCGATGGCATTCACATCTGCGTGACAGTTAATAAGCTCCTCCACCATGCCTTCCACTGCCAGCCTGGCAGCCAAGATCAGGGGTGTAGTGCCATCATGCATGCGGGCGTCCAAATCTGTGGCACGGTTCCTTATCAGAATCTATTAAGAGAAACAGTTGATTAAATATCTTAGCAGCTTTAGTTGCATTTATACAACAGTACTATGATATTATGTTATTGTAACGTATTTTATATTAAACAATACGTTCAGATTTATTTAAGGCATTAGAGGGAGAAAAGGGCCCACCTGGAAGACCCCCTGAGCATCAGCGGCCACTGCAGCATGCAGAGGTGTCCTGCCCATGTTGTCCTGAATGTTTGCATCGGCGCTGGCCTCCAGCAGCCGTTTGGCAGCGTCAGAGCGAGCGTACCGGGCAGCCAGATGAAGGGCTGTCTCACCGGTACGATCAGTCTGGTTGTGGAGGTTAGCGCCCTGATAAATGAAGTCGTTGATGACATTAGCCGAGGCGTCCTCCTCTTCCTCACTGTTGCCAGTTTCTAGTCCTCCGCCGCTGCAGGATGCGATCATCAGGGGAGTGAATCCATCTAAGGGGAGAGGAAGCAGCAGGACATGAAAGGTGGATCTTGGCAATGTGTTTGCATGGTCAGCAGAACTCTGGAAGGCCGAATAAGAGCAACTTGAAGACAGAAATGTTCCTCTTCAAAGCCATAGGCAGATCAAAACAAAGCAACCAGCAAATCGAATGTGGATTTGATGCTTTTGCTTGGGTTGAATCATCATAGCTTTTCCTTTCAAGAAGCGATTCTGATCAAGGCACAGGAGGCGCCTCAGAAGGAAAGCAGCGCTTCAGGGATAGAGGCCAGGGCTGCTACCATAAAACAAAGCATTAATATCTAACTGAGAGAGGCAGCTCAGTCAGATGACTAGGATAGGTTTTCTCCTCAAAAGAAAAGCAATCCTAAGATCTCACAGATTTGGTCGATTCAAGAGCATCGATCCCTGACAGAGGGAAAAAGAGCTCTCAAGTTGTTAAATGAGCTACTTTGATTTTTCATAGTTTTGAACAGGGATTCTGGCATTAACCACCAAACATTTTCAGTTTTTTTTATATATATATCTGATGAACTCATTGTTTTTTATAATGTTGCATAAAGATAAAAACTGAGCCCTATTACTGGTGAAATGATTGATCTGATCAGGAATCAGTGTTTTCCCCGAGGTGCCTGGCTTCCAGCTGGCTGCTTTGAAGAAGATCCTTTACCCTGAGGACATGGGGCTTTAGTAACTCCTTCACGCACAATTACACATGCAAACACACACTCATGGCACACGCTTAAAAAAATATCTAACCCAGAAACATTTCTACTTATCTTTTTTTTTCTTTAACCTTTTGAAATAATGAAATCAGCTGACATTTTAACAGCTTAACAGGATTTTGTTTAAAACTGTAAAATTAATTTAGCCATTTTTCCCACTTTAGAAGTTAGGATCACCAATAGAAAAGATGGGATGTTATTATTCAACTTATTTTGATTAATTCACAGTTAATTAAATTTGTTTTTACATAAAATGACATCTGTTTAGATGCACATAATCCTGTAAATAATATATTTGAGGTGAATATGGTATTTTAATTACCTGGTCCTCGCACGTTGACATCCATGCAGTCATTTTCAATCTCACCCTGAGGGGGAGTGGGAGCGATGGAGGGGATACGGAGATCGGCGGCGTCCAGGTGCTGCTGGGTCCACTGGCGGTGGTCGGTCTGGTCGTCGGCGTCCATCACAGCCTGCTCATCAATCTGCTAAAACACAAAAAAAAAGCTAAATATTATGGTTTTATAACAAACAAATAATTACATTTTAATGCATGAATTATAGATGAGCTTTAGTATAAGTTTGAAAATTTCTGGATAATTATATGCAGCTTAAATCATATTTAAATCTCTTGAAAAGGCATTTCTGTTTTCTTACTTTGAATCGCTTCACATCCGTATGTTCGTCCTCTCCCCATTCATTCGGGTTGTCGTCCATCAGAGAAATATCAGAGGTGTTTTTCAGTGGCCTGTGAGAACGCAGACAATTTAGGAAAAATCCATCTAATCCGCTGCTTTTAAGCTACTCATCATTAATATTGCAGGGAAGTAAAAAAAATAAAATAAAACCATTGATCAGATCTCTACCCCACCTCTCCGGCAGATCAGTTAATGAATATTCACCAAAGTTATCTCAGTCTATGATCCTTGTAAAATTCAACCATGACCAATCAACTGTCACACCCAATTCATCGCTTTCACTGTGAGTCCGGTGGTCACAGTGAAGTAGATTTCCGTAAAAGAACCAATCAGAAACTCACTTCAATCCAACTGAATCCTCTCCAACAGGCTCCCGTCTTTTCTTCTTGCTGGTCTCCGTGGTCTTGAAGCCCTCGGGAAGCCAGAGACGCCCGTGCTCATGGCGCCGCTTTCGGGCTGCCACCATTCCCACTCCAAGGAAGGCCAGTATCCCGACGCCGCCCAGGACCAGATAGATTGCGTAGAGTCCGTCGGAAGGCTGCCGGTCAACGCCGCCTGTTAGGAGAGCGGGCGACATAATCACGAAGGTCCTGATAGTCAGGCTCTTCGTCGCCCAGCACTTCCCGCAGCGCAGGCGGCAGCTAGACCCAGAGCCAGAAACTCACTGATGATCCTCCCTGCTTGTCAAGCTAGCTTCTACTATCTACTCAGTAATAATCAGAATAGCTAACCACTTTTCATCAAAAAAAGGGGGGGGGGACAAGGGGCTGGGGCGGGATAAAAAAAAAGAAAATAAGGGAAAAAGAACATCACCACCTCCTCTCTCCTTTTTCAACTCAGGGTACCAAGAGACAACTTTACCATTTCTTCTTTAAGAGAAAAAAAGGGAGGGGATTAATGAACTTCAAATTACTGCACGCGCTTTAAGCTGTAAAGACGAAGGATTTATTAGGATTTTCGAGATAACAAAGACTCCCAACTTCTAGCACACTCCCGATCAATTTTTCCTCTTCTTTTTTTTTTTTTTCTTTCACTAACGATTTTGAAATGATAAACTCCCCCAACCTAAACCCTCAGAGATACATTAAGTCCTGGTATTACATTCAGCGAGGTGAAGGTTGCAGCAGCCCCTCGCCATGTGGGATAAGGCGTGTGTGCGCGTCTGTGTGAGGGTTCGCTGTCAGAGCGCATATAGGTATACATGTCTGAAAAAGAGGAAGCCAGAGACGCCCTTATGATGTGAACGAACAGGGAGGAGGTTGATTTGCTGCAATTAACCATTTTGGAGCCTGAAGCCATTGGATTTGCACACAGAGGAAGAGATTGATTGATTCGACCATGAGATTCACAATTGCATTTGTTCATCGCTGCATAACAAATACACAATCAAAGAGTTCTGTGGGGAGGATCCGACTGCAGGCCTTTCCTGATCCTTTTAGTTTGAGAATAAGCATAAAGGAACACATGTTTTCTAAGTATGTTTGTGCTTTAAGGACCCAATACCCCAAAATTGTTCTCCCCCCCCTATTAACGCTACATCCCCAATAAAAAGGATTGTGTAAACTGTTTAGACTGTATGTTTTAGAGAGTTCCAGGCTAACAGAAAATTTGCAGCATCTATTTAACAGTAAAGTGAAATGCAATTTCAAATAGAGATATCTACCAAAAATCGATAATTATGATATTGTCAAAAATAATCCTCCTAAACACTTAAAGACCAAAACTAATACTAAGTCAGTCATAATTGTTTCACATTTGAAACAGAAAAGGTTCATTTCCATTTTTAGCCTGAAGGAGAACGAGCGTTAATGTTCAGGTGAAAAAAATGGACAAACAGGAAACAGCTAAATATGAAGCAAGCAGAACTCGCTAATTGTCAGGTTGTTGAAAGCTCCAAGCTCTGAACTTTCCCTACATTTTGTCAGCTACTTAACCTAACCACAATCCTATCAGTGCATAAATAATAGAAATACCAAAAAAAAAAAAAAAAATCTTTTTTTTTAAAGGCAATGTGGAGAAAACAAGATTCAAGGTCACTTTTTATTTTAAAAAGACCCCTCGGCACAGTTTTGCTGCTATATAATATCTAAATAAGTCCATTTATTATTTGATTTTTACTATTTCATTTGTTTGAATTCAAAATGAATTTACTAAACTGTAAAGATGTCAGCCTAACTTCCTCACAGAGGGTGTGATTTATTTGACGGTGACATAAACCGGCATGACTTCATTATTTTACTTATATGGAGCATGTACTGCTTTTTAGCAACCACAAAAACAAATATATCCTTTGTTTTGTGTGGAACTATAACGTCTAACAACAGGCAAATCTTCTATTACGAATTCTTGTTCTCTAAGTGTTGAGTGCATTCATGCACAGTAAGGAAGGCTGAGATGAATATGTTAAATAATACATCTGTTTTCAGTTCACTGAAAGGAACAGCAAGGAATAAGCGGTATTTTTAGTTTTGCTGCATTTAAAAATGACTTTAAAAATGACTGAGCCAAAGATCTTTAGAACGTACGCTCACAGCTACTGGCACATTGGATAAAGACGTGCCTCTGAGTGAGTTCACCTTTTATGCAGCGACGTAATTCCACAGTGTGCAGTGAATTCCTTACAATTCTCTGATACAATAAAGTATTTTCTTGAGATATTTGATGGTTTCAAGATGTTCTATTTTTCTCTGACTGTAGATAAGGACACATTTAGGCCAGGGGCACATTGCCTGCCTTAAATAAACTGCATGTATTTTGTCTTCCTATTTTTAAGCGCAATCTGTTTCTGTATAAAGTGACTAATTTAAAATCAAACACTCTGATGCTGTGATACATGAAAGATTAAGAAAAGCAAATGTGACATATATTTGACAGGAGTTGTTACAGGTGAATTTGAAGTAATTTTGTTTTAAAAAAAGGGTCTATATGCTTATTTGCACTTAAATAATCCTTAAAAATGAAAAAAAGGTTTGTTTTTAATTGCATGATCATACTCCTTTTCTTTGCACATTTTAACAAGTTTCCATAAAAATGGAGGTCCTACTGACACGAGGGATAAACTTGTAATCTTGAGACAGAACAGAATTTAAACTAGGAAATGCTAAATGTTTATACGAGGGGTGTTCAATAAGTATAACCCCTGGCCCACTTCCAGATGTTTGACATCTTGCATGTGAAGTATTTTAAATCTCTATAGATTAAATAGCAAATTACAGCTCTGAACTAATTGTGGTTTCTGATTTACTGGTGTTAAAACTGAGTCAAGTCTGAGTTTATGCATTTGAAAGGACCCACACAATGGGAAACTTTTAATCAAATGAAAGTGACTTATAGTGATAATGTCCCATAATATAACCTTGTAAAACATATTGCAACGTCATATAACGAAAATCATCACCATAAGTTATTTTAATTTAATCAAAAGTCTTCCATGGTGTGAGTCCTTTCAAATAGAAAAAACGGATCACTGCTTGAATCTCAACAGGCTCCATTTCAGACTTTACTCAGTTCAAACACCTGTAGCGAAGAAACCACAAATAGTTCAGAGCTGTAATTTGCTACTTAATCTAGAGAGTTATAAATAATGTCACATGTAAAATAATATTATATATATATATATATATATATATATATATATATATATATATATATATATATAT